CCTGCCTGCGCGACGCCCATTTGGGCGCGCTCTTCGGCCTCCTCAGCGCCGGTGACCGGTGAGCGCGGGCCTGGCCTAGGCCGGCCCCGGCGCCTCCCCTCTGCCTTCCCCATGGCGCTCTTCCTCTCCCCTGTCGCTTTTCCTGCCCTTCTGGGAGCGGGGCCGGCACGGCTGAGGGCCTCGGCCGTGTCTCCCTCCTCAGGGTGTCCGTGTCCCTCTCAGGGAGCAGCTGTCTGCATGTGTCGCCATCCTGGAGCGGCTGCTACAGGCCCTGGACCCCCTCCACCTCATCCGGAACCTCCGAGAGGAGCTTCAGAAAGGCCTTTTCCATCCTGACGACTCCGTGAAAATCCTCACCATATCTCAGGTATGGTTTCCTGTCCCTGGCCTTCCAGCTCGGCCAGGGCTCCCTCTTGGGTCAGGCTGGGATAGTTCAGTCTCTTACTGGTACTTTTTTACTATGAACTATGAAAAAAGCACTGTATTAAGTGTTTGTATGGGCTCCTGCAATTTTGGGCACCTACTGTGCAATATGTAGGTATATAGTACTTAATGGTGTGACTGGTAAATATAGTACGTAAAACTGTGTCTTGACACAGGTAACGTGTAAATTGATCTTCTGTGTGTCATGGACTCTAGTTCTTTGTAAAATGCTCTTAGCCAGCACTGGCAGCAGGTGCTGCAGGAATTAAATACAACAACAGTTTTGCTGTTCGGGATGCTTTGAACAATATTGTGAAAATACTGAAGAGGAGTAGACTGTTTCTAGTAACTTGGTATTTGTTGCCTTAGTTTAAAGGAACAGAACTGAGGAATAATGTAGTTTGGAAGGGAGCTCTGGGGGTGTTGGATCCAACCCCCAGCTCAAAGCAGAGCCAGCTTACAGCAGACTGCTCAGGGCGTTATCCCGTTTTGAACATCAAAGAATGGAAATTCTGCCTTTCTGGGTAGCTGTTCCAGTGCTCGGCTGTTCTCACGGTGAAAAAAATTTGATCTTAATAGTAGAATTTACTGTGTTGCAATTCGTTGCTGTCTCTGTGCACCTTCAAATATGAGTCTGATTGTGTCATCTTTAGACTCTCCCATTATGTAGCTGAAGACAACACCATGATTTCCTCTTAGCCTTCTCTTATTAACCCAGACCTTTTAGCCTCTCCTAGTGCACTCTGTGCCCCGTAATCATTTTGGTAGCCCTTCACCAGGCTCGCTCCAGTTTGTCAATGCTTCCTCGACTCTTCTGTGCAATTGCAACTGGAGTACAAAGTGTGCCCAGTTCTGGAATCCCCAGTACAAGAAAAAGTTGAGAAATTAGAACATGGCTCGTGATGCGGTGACTGGCATATAGACCTCAGATCTTATATTTAAAGCTTTTGTTTTAAAGACTGTTTCTCTAATTAACAGAATGTTCGTATAAAGGAATGCAACTAAACTAATAGTGTATTTAATCATGTTCTTAGGTTGGGAGGATTGTTGAAAATCCAGATGCTATTAGAGAAATTATCAACAGTCCTGAATTATTACGGCAAATAATCTATTGCATTGGTGGAGAGAAAATAGCTGTGGCTAAAGAGGTAAGCTTTGTTTTTTGTTTGTGTGTTCTCTCTCTCTCTCTCTCTCTCTCTCTCTCTCTCCCTCCCCCACCCCCTCCCCTTAATAAATTAACTGATGTAGAAAAGGTATTCTCTGTGGTGGGTACTGTCTGAATAGTCTGTCACCTGAGATGGCATCTCTCTTCCTCTTTGAAGAAAAGAGAGCTTCTGTAGGTTGAAAGAATGATATCAGTTATGCGGTTTAAAAAAATTAACAAGTAGGTGACCTATGTCAAAAGTTGATTAAATGGGGTAGAAAATCTTACCCAGAACTGCTATCTTCCAGTAGCCATTGACCCCGAAGTAAACTCGTAGATGTGAACTTAATGCTTATCACAGTAACTAAAACTAGCTTTCAGCAGAGATATGAGTAATTGTCACTGGAAAAACATATGGACGTTAGAATTTTAGCTGAATAACTATGATTTGGTATGTTAATGGAGCCTGGTTTAAACAGATCCTGGTTTGAGTTTTCTTCCGTGTGTGTCTTACGATGAGCTACTGTTCTTGTTCACAGGCCATCAAATCTCTCTCAAGAATTGCACAGACACAAGATGGCTTAGAGGCTTTATTTGTGAGCAGTTTGTTGAGTGACTTGAAAAATGTCATGGCAACAAATGACATTGTACGGTATAGAGTGTATGAGGTAAGAATGAGATAAATGTTAGCATTTGAGTTGCAGGGGACTGCAGTTCTAAGTTTAAAACGAATTTTAAGAAACTGTAAAAATGCAGATTTTTAGCTGCTATACAAACTCTTCATTTATTCTTTTTTAATCTTGTCAAAAAAGTAGAAGAAGGTTAGAGCAATGTTGATTCTTAGATAAGATCTTAATTTTTCTTTCTCCCTTATGGTACAAAGACGTAAAGAACTCAAGTGTTATTTACATCTTATTTTCTAATATGTTGTGCTTAGGGTGTTGGAAAGGCTACGCAGAGTTACTGCTAAAGATATAATAGAATGCTTGCTTTTCTGAAAATAAAAACAAAACAGTTTCTGCAGTCTCCTCACCTTGAGATGTGAAGCCCTACTGAAAGTTCAGAAGGGGGAAGAAACGGAAGGAGATGCCAAATGTGTCACTCTAGATATGTAAGGCAAAGGAAAAATAATGCAATTTAGGCGTACTAGAGCTTAATAGGAATAGCAATGATTCTTCTGAAGAAAAGAAGAAAGTGTGAAAAGAGAGCAAATCCATGTGCTGTAAACCTGGACTTCTTTATGAACTTGTTTTTCAGGCAAATGTTTAGATGTATTATGAAACAGTAAATGCTAGCTTTAATGTATTTGTAGGCTTAATTTGTGTTTATAAGATGTGATTGTGAAGTGTTAACATTATAATGTTTTTCACAAGCCACTCTTTTTCCCATGCTCTTATTTAGTTAATTGTAGAGATCTCTTCAGTGTCAGCTGACTCGCTAAATTACTGTGCCAACAGTGGATTAATATCGGAGTTAATTGGAGAGCTGACTGGAGATGATGTTCTGGTCAGGTATGTTGGTAGTGAGTTTGCCAATGAGATTTCCCCCATAGTGAACACCTGTGTTTTAACACTCAACCTCTTAACACATTTGTATGTTTTTCTTTTGGAACCTTCTTCAGGAAAAATAGTTACCCCCCCCCCCCCTTATTAAGTCTTGTATGTAAAATACTGTTTACTTTAATTTGAGAATGAAGATGAAGGCTTCCCCGATATGCTCCAATAGTTTTGATGCTGGACTGCAATATCAGCACTTCTTTTTCTTTCTTAAAGATAGCTGAGTGAGCTTGGAGGAATGTTGGACAGTTAGATGGGTTTTCTTTTATTTGTTTATTTTTCTGTGCTTTAAGATTAGAAAAACTGTTTTTCCCTCAATCTCTAGGTATTCTAAAAATGCATCTGAATAGGAAAAATGAACTGTTTGTCTGTTGCAGAGCTACATGTATAGAGATGGTAACCTCACTGGCTTATACTCCCCATGGACGCCAATATCTTGCTCAACAAGGAGTTATTGATAAAATTTCCAATATTATCATTGGTGCGGAGTCTGATCCTTTCTCAGGCTTCTATTTACCAGGTGAAATCATGCATTTTATTAAAAGCAATCACTAAACAACACTGGAAACAATGTGTTAAATTGAGAGGACCCCTAAGCCTCAGTTTTGAAAGTTTATGTGAATTATTTGAATATTAGAACTCATGTATTGGGCATATAAAAAAAAAAATACTGAAGGACAGTCTAATATGTGAATAATGTTTTTCACTAAGAGCGGTAGAGAAGATAAGATTTGGACAAACTGTACTGTAGATGTGAAGTTTAAGCATTATTGTAGCCTTTTTGAATTTTTTTCTTAATCAGGAATTAAGTAGCTGTTAGGTGAATTCATCTTGTAGTCACAGAGAAAATGTCACTACCTGAGCTATGCAAAGGATATTTCTAGGTTATGATGCTGTATTTCATAGCCTTAAATTTCCCTTGGCTCTCAAGGGAAACTTATTGCATTTCTTTTGTATTGCGTCTTCAAAATACTGGCTTGTTCCTTGGTGCTGTCTTTATCCTGATGCGTTTCAGGACAGTATTTGCATTTAACAGTACAGTGGAAACAAATCTTATATTAATATATATCTTTAATTATGGCATAACCAAAGTTATTGTTCCTGTACCCTGAATTTTTTTGTCTTGTCAGGATTTGTTAAATTTTTTGGAAACCTGGCTGTGGTAGACAGCCCACAGCAGATCTGTGAACGATACCCTGTATTTGTGGAGAAAGTCTTTGAAATGGCAGAAAGTCATGATCCAACCATGATCGGAGTGGCTGTAGACACGCTAGGAATCCTGGGATCAAACGTGGAAGGCAAACAGGTTTTACAGAAAACTAGTTCGTATCAAATTTTTCTATAATAAAACTCTCTCAGTATATTGTAATATGAGATTGATGTCGGATGATATAATAGGGGAAAGAACTGAAAAAACATTTCCGATTCTCATAATCATAGGTGTCTGAGTAGCTGTGGAAGAGCTATTGGTGGTTGTTAACTGTCTTGCCAGGCATGGCAGCGTGAAAGACCTGGCAGCTAGAATTGTGGTATTGCAGGCATGATTTGAGTTTTTTCTCGTGAGTTGCATCATACAAATCCTCAGTGATGCTGTAACTTTAGATTCCTTTGTTCCTATTGATATCATGGCCTCTTCCCCACTAGGGCAAGGAAAATACAGACGATCGTGTGATGACACTTCCCTTGAACTGTACTGTTTCTGTTACCATAAAATGGTCCCAAGTATTGAAATGAGATGCAAGCCCCCCTCCCTTTTTTTTTTAAATGAAAAATCTGTGTTAGCAAATAGCTGTTGAAGCATTGTAGAATGGGACTGAAGACTTCTGATCACAAATATACTTGTGTCGGCACTTCCCAAGCTAACTCAATTATGTGTATAGCTTGCTTTTTGGAAGCCTTTGGATAGTCCAGAGATATGAATGAAAATAAAGCTTTGATTTTTTTTTTTTCTTTTTTTCCTTTACCTTGGAGCCATATGAAGCGAAAGAAGTCTTGCACTGATTTAATTATAATAGTCAGAACCTGCCTTTCTTGGGTTGTATATCCAGCCTTCTTTCCACTAGTTAATTTAGTATAATGTCACTGATAGCAATTTTCTATTCCTATAGAGATCTGTCCAAACTAAATGAAAGCGTTTTTCTTTTCAAAGGAAGCAGATTCCAAAATCTGCTAAACAAAATAGGGCATCAGGCAAAGAATGCCCCAGCGGAGTTGAGACTTCGATGCTTGGATGCCATTTCTTCTCTTCTTTACTTGCCTGTAAGTGGTTGTCCGGGGTGGTTTAAAACCTATGGAAGCTAAATTAGTGTGCATCTAACTGATGGTATGTTGGTTAGGTGCCTGTTCCTCGGTATCACAAATCACTAACTTTATTGTTTTGAAGTTCCCTGATTTGTTTGATGCTGAAGGTAAACATTGGAGTGTCTTTATAAGAAACTACATACTTGGAGTCCGTCTTCCCTTGATGATGTTACCTTGATTTCAAGGTTCAGGAGAATACACAGTATAATATTCTTACACTTTAAAGAGATGATGGCAAACTGCTTAAGTCTCTTGTGTGTTGTCCAAGTTCAGTGACCTAGTTTTAATAGTGTAGTTTTGATTGAGCTATTCTTGCTTATTGTGCAGGAGCCCACTCTAGCAGTAGTGTACCAAAATAGGATAATTCTGTCCTTCAAGCTTAATGAAATACAGAAAGCCTCTTATTCATGGAAATAAGCTTAAATTTTCAACTATTTCAGTGTAATTGGTTGGTGGTACAGTCTATTTTTAACTTCTTTACCTATTGAACAGATGCTCCAAACTTGAAAGCTATTCATCATCCTAACCAAATTCTTTCATTTATGTACACTTCTCTCATATGTGTAGCCTGAGCAGCAGACAGAAGACCTTTTGAGAATGACTGAATCATGGTTCTCATCCTTGTCTAGCCAACCATTGGAACTCTTCAGGAGTATCAGTACTCAGCCGTTTCCTGATCTCCACTGTGGGGCTTTAAGGGTATTTACTGTACGTTTACTTCTTTTTAAAGATTGAGTGGATTCTGTTGCCTTTTACAGTCTTAGATTGTCACAAACTTCTTGTTGCAGCTGTTTGAAATGAGGCCAGTCCGCTTTCCCGGTGCCCTAGTTGTATTCACGGTTTGTGTAATTCAGCAGACAGGTCAGGTCTGCAGTGCTTATTTTCTTGTAAAGTTGAGGGGGGGAACCCTCCAAACCTGGATTTTAAAAGGCTACTTTGATATTTGTTTGCAATGTATAAAAGCGAAGCACTGAGCTCCACTTGATTTTTAGTGGTAAGCGCTGCTGCTTGGTCAGGTGGTAGTTGTCATTATTGTATAGCATGAATATCCCTCTTCAGTTTTAATCTATTCCTTGCCTATATAGCTTAACATTGTTTGTATTACTGATTCAGGTTTCTAAAATGAGCGTTGTTTTTCTTTTTCTTCACCTTTAGGCTATTGCGAACCAACCGTGGGCCCAGAAGTTGATGCTTGACAGTCCTGGGTTTGTGGAATATATTGTAGACAGATCTGTGGAACCTGACAAAGCTTCAAAGGATGCCAAATATGAACTGGTTAAGGCCCTTGTAAACTCTAAAACAATTGCAGAAGTCTTTGGAAATCAGTATTACTTGAGGCTTAGGGCTTACTTGCACGAAGGCCCTTACTATGTTAAGGCAGTTTCTACTACGGCTGTGGAAGGAGCGGAATAGTGTCAGAACAATAGCCTGTCTCGGTTCTCCTTCTTGCAAAGTGTATTACTGAAATAGCTGTTAAGATTCTCCCACACTGGAGTCTTTTTAGATTCTCTTCAAAGAAACTTGAAGTATTTGACTCAATTTGAAATAAGAGTCATGAGTGCAAATTGTAACCCGTAGGGCACAATGTAACTTTCCTTAGTCTCATGGCATAAATCCTCTCTGTACTTTCCTGAGACAAGTAACCCAGGTAAGCACTCTGTCAACTGTGGACGCCGTGTTAATTTGCAAAAACTATCAATGTTTAACTAAACTGTTCTTGGGCTTGGAGTTCCTATCATGTTTTCTGAGTAGATCATACTTCAATTAAAAAACAAACACCAAGACACCCTGAGGTTCGTTACCTCAGATACTGCCATGATTTCTCTTACTTTTCTTCCTTACACCTGCCTAAGTTCGCACTTGCATGGAAAATACTCCTTAGCCAGTTCTGTTCTGTCAGAAACCTAGTTGTTAAAAATAAACTAGTAACGTTCTAAAGGTTCGTTCCCGCGTGAGGGAATACAGACTGGATTAGCTTATCAATTTGCTGGATGTAAGTCTTGTTTGAATAAAATAATCCTAAATATTGTTTACACTTTATGCTGAGGATGACAAAAAACTTTTAGCCCTTTTAAAGGAGACGAAAGGCAAACTAATATATAAAACCAATCTGGGAGCTTTGTCTCTGTTGTTAACTGCTACTTTGTATGGCAGTTCAGTTTACTTGCTCAAAAGGAGCATGAGCTATAGTGCTCTAAGTCTACTTCAGAACCAAATCTTAAATTGTTTACACTATTTTTATCAGAAACTTTTTAATTTTGTGTTACTTTAAAGAAGTATGAGAGTTTTAGTTGCCTGAGTTGTAGTAAATGGGGTAAGAACGAAAAGCCTTTTGTGTTTAAAGGCTTAAATGGAATTGAGGAGGAAACTATAAAGCCTCACAAGGTACTATATTATCTCCCTGTGAAGATGGTTAGCTAGTGTGTGGGTGGGATGCAAGGCTAGCTGTACCACTGGCTGCATCAGTAAGTAGTGATGTGTCTTAGTGAACAAAGACCATGATGTACTTCATGATAAAAACTTCTTATTTTTGTTGAGAGCATGAGTTAAAAATTGAGGTCAAGCTGGAGGAAACAGTAAAACACAAGGTTACTGGAATAACTCAGAGTAGTAGGGTGTCAAGTCAGGTATGCCGCTGTGGAAAGTACTTGCCTTTTGTCCTTGCTCTGCCAAGTGATTTGGGATAATCTAGGCATGTAGTAACTCTTTTCTTGCTTGTAGTAGCTTTGGGCTGCAACAGAGGTGATGGTGTTCTCTGCTAAAAAAGAAATTCTGTCAAGGGGTGGAAGGGAGCTCAGAGAAGCAGAGCAGGTGGGGAAAGGCCATTAATGTGTAATGAGCAATCTGAAGGCAGGTGATTTGCCTTGTTTATGATCTGCCTCTTTGCTAGTATGCACGAAAAGCAGTCATGTGAAATCTTACTACTGCTTGCACTTTCATCGTAGATGAGCTTAGTAAACATTTGCTAGTGAGAAATGCAGTACAGAGTGTCTCATTTGTAAACTGAGAGAGCACCAGCAGCTTCATGAATCTTGCATCCAGAAAAGCATGAAAGTATTTAGAAAGGAAGTGGAAGAATGTAGAAGTCCTTATTTTGCACTTGCATTGGACTGTTCAGCTTTGCTATTGTAGGTGGCTTTGTGTGCTGGTAGCTCTGTATGAGCCCTGTCTGGAAATCTCTGTAAAAGAAATCAATATAAACCTTTTCTGCAATTTGTGAGTCTCTTCCCTGTGTGTTTTCAGCTCTTACTTATAAAAGCTAACTGTGTGCCAATTCTTAAACATCTGTTTTGCATGGTACATTTGCCTGATAAAATATTTCAGAATGCAGATGCCAAAGGGATTTTTTTATACATGTATACTACTTTCTTCTGAGCTCAAAGCTTAAACAAATGTGGATTAATTGATCACTCTTATCCCTTTTTATTCACATAGTTCCCTACGCCTCCTCTATAGAGCCATATGGCTTACCTGTTGCTACTGATGTATCTTGTACACAAAGGGAAACTAGTGTTTCTCCCTCCTGCCCGTAATGTTGACAGGTAGAGATAACTAAGGAAAAACAGAAATGAATGATGCAGAATGGGAACTGAGGAAAGGAACTTGGTTTAAAAAGATGTCGTTGCTTGATTGGCGAACAGACTGTGTAACTTTATATTTAAAAAGAGGAATTGCGTATCCTTTGGAGCACATCTATTCAGTCAGGGTGGGAAGAGTAAGGGGGGTGCATATATGTTTGTGTACACAAAGGTATATGTCTTTCTCTCCATGTATCTCTATCACAATTGTAGAACAAATTTGTCCAGCTAACCTTTTCTCTTCTGAAAGCTGGTTTGGAAAAGTTAATCTGGAGGCCACGGGCAAGGGTGGGTTTGCGTGTTCTTAACTGCTCCCTAATGTAGGGGATTTTTGCATTCTGGGTGAGCTCACTGTTACCAGAATGCTGGCGCATTAGTTGGTGAATTTGTTGGGACTTCACTGCTGGCTCCATTCTCCAGAACAATGTTATGCTTCTGAACTGCTCTTGTCCATGTTCCTCTGTCGTCATGACCGTGACAGAAGTACAGCGTTCATCAGGTAAGTTGGACTTCCTGTCCAAAATCTTCCCAGGCTGATTATCTAAGCAAATTTGTGTGATGCCTCACTGTCTGTTCCCATTCTAGCTGTCCTGTAACTTTATTGGCACCCTAAAATAGGATGTTTAGAGGTAGCTCTCTTTTCTGAGGATGAAGAGATTCCTCTATTCCAAAGTATTTTGTAAGTAGGTGATGTCTGTTACTCAAATTGGATCAAAAATGCAGAAATAGTTTTGACATAAGGTAGAGGCATTTAGATGGCTGGAAAACATTGGATACAAACCAACTTTCTTTGAATACTCTTTACTTCTATGCATGCAGTTGTACATATTTGATGTAGCTAGAGTACATCCAGTTCTCTTGCTATCAGAAACTAATCTGTAACACAGTTTACAGCATTGAGAATCCCTTTGCTGTTAAAGGAAGAGAGATCTCTGAGAGGAGATGCAGGTTTTTACCAGCCATTTTATCTTGTTGACATTCAGTGAAAGAAGACGTAGGCTTTCTTTGCAAAAGTTAAATCTTAATCAGCCAAATGAAGAGCCCCATTTTTTATTGCATTCATGTTAAACTGTTTGAACTTATCAAAATAGGTCAAAACTTTGCAGGACACGAGACCATAGTAAGTTTCCAGTAACGAGCAATCTTTTCCATCACTTATTTCCCTCCAATCTTTAAATAGCTCATCCTCTTTCATGTTGGAAGAGGTGAAAATGAATTTATAGCAGCATCGATTGTATCTGATATGCTTTTCCCCAGAAAACCGAGAGCTATGAATAGGCGTGATGCCAGCTTTTTTAGCACAGATTCCAACAAAGATATCAGGGGGCACTGAAACTGGCACTTCCTTGGCGGCTACATACACCTTCCGAGCTACGTCCTGGGATACGACAAAAGCTGTCCCACTGCAGTAATCTGGGTAAAACTCCTCTGGATATTGACTGATGGGAACAAAGCTAGGGCTTTCAGGGTCTCTGTCAGGCACCGCTTGATGAATGACTCTCCCGATATAAATGTCCTCTAGCTGTGTTAAGCTAAGCAAGTATCCAACCAGACTTGGAGTACTGAGAAACATTTCTTCGTTGGTTTTAAGGATGTACCTTGCCTGGGAACAGAAAGTTACTGCCCATTTCATGCTCATCACAATCTTCTGTGTCTGAGTCTCGGGAGAGTCAATGAAGCTTCCTTCAATAATGTCTCTGTGCTTTTGAGACTCTTCATTGATCTCCAGCTGGATGATTACTGAAGCTGGCTTTCCTAAAGCAAACAAAGTAAGGACTGCATAACCTCTGGTGTCTGTCACATTACCCCATGTCTGCCTGATCACATTGCGCCTTGTCCTGTTTTCTGGGCTACTGCAGACAAGAACAAGCAAAAACACCTCTTGATCTGAGCATGCCCCTGTGCTGCTGATGGTATAAGACTTGGAGAGATTGGCCTTTAGAGGATCGGTGTCTAATTTCCTAGCCTTCTCCCTGATTTCAAGAACCTTTGCATCAGTGTAAGAAAGAGGTAATGACTGTAGGAAGTATTCCTCCAGTAAATCTGCTCCAAAAAGCAGTGCATGGAAAAGCAAGACATTAAATAAAATGAAGCACCACTGATGGGTCCGGAGCCTGCAGAACGTCAGCTGTGGAAGAGAAGAAACGGACATTGAATTCTCTTGTTGCTAGACTAGGAAGGCTTTCGTTCATCTTAGAACACAGTCGGGCAGGACAGAATCTCCACTTCTAGATCACAGTCTCTGTATTATTAATGTAAGGCTTTGAACAGCAACAAGCTTTCAAAAACCCTAAAGAGTGAACCCCACTTGTGAATCAGTGTGAGATCCCAAGACAAGGATGTCACTGGGCTGAAGTTTAAAAGGCTGCTTTCCATGCATCCCCATGTGGAAATACTGAGGATAACTGACACTATTCAAATAATTTCTGGCTGTCTTTTAACACCTTGCTGATGGCCTGAGATATCAGAGGACACATACTAACCTGTAGAGGATTTGTTAACTACTTGTTAAGTTAGTGTTTGATAGTTGGGTTTTTTTAACAATGCCCTGTGAAACTTGACAGGGTAAGAAGTAAAAGGGAAGATCGGTGTCATGCAGCATTGGAGCGAGTCAGTCATTCAGAAATGAAGTCCCCTCTTTGCGTGGGGACTATCCCCCTGCTTGCCCCGCTCCCTTGGCTGTGCCCCTGGTTTGGGCTTGTTCACTGCGGTGTTCAGCCGACTCCAGAAATGGGGCTTGGGAGGGCAGGCTGCAGCTCGGTCTCCCACTCCTTGCTGTAATGCACAGTTGCACAGCCTGTACACAGGAAGCGATTGGGATTTTTCTGCCCTGTTATCACTGCTGCTAACCCAAAAGATGGCTGCAAACTTAATGTTTGCCAGTTAGTGTTGCCACCCGTATGTGCTGGGGGAAGGGAGTCTTAGAGCAGTTGCGTTGCAGTTCGTGTATGGGATGATTTGCAGTAAGTGGCAGCCTCATCCTAGAGTCCCTGCTGTGGTGGATTAATGAGACAAAGCCCTTACCTGCATGGTGGCAGGGAACGCGGGGTGCAGCCGGCTGGGGGTATCTTCTGGTCAGAGGCGGATTTCCCTGTCCGAAGCTTAGGAGGCAATGTGTGTATCTGGGTCTGCAGGGTTGAGTTACTTCCTAATAGCCAGGCATGCTGACTTCCACCTTGCCTGGCCGCAGAGAGGAAAGATGATCCAAGGGGATGATCATGTTGCAGCTGCATAAAACAACGCAGGCAAAGCTAGCCTTTCCCTTCGTTGTTTCTGATGCTTAGATGGGACTTGCGTTGAAGTCGCTGGGTCTCTGAGACATACTGGTGTGAAGCAGCTGCCAGCAATAACTCAAAGCCGGTTCTGCTGTTGTGAAGCTAGTACATCTGCCAGTCTGTTGCTGCCTTTTCTTACAACTGCGCCGTCTTCTTCCTGGATCCGTGTCCAGGGGAACTGGCCTGTGCACAGCGCACTCGGCCTCTCCTGCGAGGGAGGTTTGGTGCACGAGCTCGCAGGCTCGCCTTGCACGAGGACTCTGTGATGGGGCAGATGCCCTTAGTGAAGGGGCTGCAGGGACTGGGCAAGGGACCGCCAGCCGGCATCTGTAACCGCGGAGGCTTCCTATGGCCAAGGGTTAAGGAAACACAAACGTGTGCCTGTTTTTTCTTACCCAATGGAAGGTTTTCCAGCTCCTGTCACCGGTGTCTCTGTGCATCGCTCGCAGACCCGCGACGGTGCCTGGAGCGCCCCGCTGTGCTGTACCACTGTGCGCTGCTCCCTTGGGTCAGGCCTGGGTGGGTGACGCATCAGCAATTAGGAGATGCCAGTGAGTGAGATGACTTTGCCGTTCCCTATGAACGGCACGCGTGTGGCGTCTTGCTGCGTTCAGTTGCCTGGTAGCGTTTTGCTAGGCTAAGAGCTGAGTGCTTTGGCACCCGGCGCCTTCCCTGCCCGCGCACAGGCTGAGCCAGGCCCCCCCCCCCCCCCCCCTTCTCTCTGGCCCAGCCGCTCTCCTCCAACACCTGCCTAACATGTCCAGGCCCACACGGGGAGCACCATTGCCGTGGCTCTCGGCCAGGTGGAGATGGAGGGTCGGGCCAGGCTACCTGCTGTGCGCTACTCAGCAGACTGAGCAGGCAGAGAAACACGAAGGCTTTTTCGGGTTAGCGCTGATGGAGCTGTATGTTTCCCTGCGGGCAGCGTGCCTCGGTTGGCTCTTTTGGCTGAGCCTAGGGCCAAGGAAGTGCAGGGCTTCATTTAACTCAAGGCACGTTCTTCGACGGGCTGCTTGGAGCAAGGCTCAGCAGCAGCTGTGCGTTGCGATAGCCGACGGCGCCCAGCGGAGGTGTGTGCTGGCAGGCCCATGGCTTGGAGGCTGGACATCTCGATGAGTCCCACCCTGGCCCCCTTGACCATCCACCATCCCTTTAAATTAATTTAAAGTGATTAATTTAAATTTTTTTTACGCTTTTGTGATGGTTGCGTGTCCTGATAGAGAGCTGCCAAGTTCTACCTGCAGGCAGGCTGCCTTCCTGCGGTGGCCTCGGCCTCCCGGCTGGCGCGTGGGTGCGCTGGAGCCTTTGCTGTGTTAATCTTGGCGCTGCCGCCGCGGGCTGCGCTCTGGGATGCAGAGCCGGGGGAACTGGAAGAGCTGGAGCGGGAAGTGCCAAAGGCACTACAAACAGGATGGAGGCGTCAGCAGGAGGGAGGGTTGGTTTTGGCAGCCTTCCT